AAAATTACAATAATTCTGCACAACTAAAAAAATTCAATAATATGAATGGGAAATAATTAAACTGAACGTTGAAAAATGTGAAAACCGTGGAGAAGAAAACTAAATTTACTTTTACAACAAGTAAGAAAAAATTTACATTTTGATAAAAGAGTTCACAAGTTGAATTATTGAATTTCCGTGGTCCACCATAGAAGACCACCAAAAAGGTAAAGAAATCTTTATATATTTACTCGTACCACCTAACATGTTTAACAAATAAGCCACGTCGGCAAATGTTAAAATCAATTTTCATATTCGACAATAGCTCTGCAAGAAATTGCATTTTATAAATTTTAGGTAGCAGAAATAATAGGACTATAAATTATAGCGTTGAAAACTTGAACGGTGTCGATGAAAATAAAATAATATTTGTTGTCCTGAAAAAATCGATGAGAACAATGAATGCGAAAGAGATTAGAAAGGTGACATAAGAATACAATCACATGACTCACATCCCTTGGCTGCGACTGGCGAGGAGGAGAAAAGCCAAGTTGTTTTGCTCTTCTCTCTCTCTCTCTCTATATATATAATTAAATGTTCTATATCATTTGTTGACATAAGAATTCAAGAGAGAGTACGTGACAATCTTGTGTTGTGTGTCTCCGTGTTTGGTTCCTTTCATTAATACTAAAACATATCGCATCTTCTCCATCTCTTCCCAACCTTTTTTTTGTATCGTCTTCATATGCTTTTGGAGGTTTGTTGTGTTTTCAAGAAATGGCTGAAGAGTATGCAGAATGTTTGCTGGGGAATAAGTTTCATGAGAATTGCCCTGGCTGCAAGGTTGACCAGATGAAGAGGCTTCGCCGTGGCTTCCCTTTCTCCGAGCTTCTTACCGTTTGGCTCATCGTCTTGTGTACCGGTAAGCTCGTCTTCTTCATGGAGATCGAGAATGTTTTTGTATTGATGTTGTCTCTGAAAATGGTTTTCTTTGTCGTTTCAGCTCTGCCCATCTCCTCTCTTTTCCCATTTCTTTACTTTATGGTGAGTACCCACATAATACTTTAAAAGTTGTTTACTTAACCTAAATACTATATATTATTAGTCTAGCTAGTAACGTGGCGGCTTGGATTTTGTGGTGATGATTAGTAAAACTTGGTATGCTTTTTAATTTTTTTTTTGTTTTGTTGTTGTTGTTGTTAGATTGGTGATTTTAACATAGCAAAGAAGGAAGAAGACATCGGGTTCTATGCTGGATTTGTCGGTTAGTCATCCATCCTCATTTTTTTTTTTTTTGGTCAACGCATCCATCCTCATATTAATCTCTTTGTTTTTGTTTTTTTTTTGGTCAAATTAATAAATCTCTTAGTTTTGTTTCATATCTAACCAAGCAGTTAAGCTATTTTCAGTACAAGTTAATACTTTTAAAACTCACATTTGTCTGTCCGTACATACCTTTGAAGGTTGCTCCTTCATGCTGGGAAGAACATTGACATCTGTCTTCTGGGGTATTGTGGCTGATCGTTATGGTAGAAAACCAGTAATCCTCATTGGAACTGCTTCAGTGTTAGTAATCTATTACATTGTTTCTTCAACTCTTTTTTTTTTTTTTTTTTTTNTTAGTAATCTATTACATTGTTTCTTCAACTCTTTTTTTTTTTTTTTTTTTTATGTTTGTTTTGTTTCTTATATAAATTTTTTTTGTTGTCACAGGGTCATTTTTAATACTCTGTTTGGTCTAAGTGTAAATTTCTGGATGGCCATCATCACAAGGTTTTGCCTTGGTAGTTTCAACGGTTTGCTTGGTCCTATAAAGGTATTTTCATGAACTCCTTTTAGCATTTTTGCATACTTATTCCAAAGCTTATATTAAACCGAAAATGTTTATGAACTTCAGGCTTACGCAATGGAAACATTCCGTGATGAATATCAAGGTTTAGCACTCTCAGCTGTAAGCACTTTGATCCAAACTTGTATTTACTTTTCTAATTGAGTAGAGTAATTTAGAATCTTATTAAATCATGTAGGTTAGTACAGCATGGGGCATTGGACTCATCATTGGCCCTGCTATGGGAGGCTTTCTTGCTCAGGTCTTTTTCATTAACAAAAAAAACATTTAACTCTTATTTTCTTACTCTTACCTTGTTCACACTTCTTGATTCATTCTTGTTCAACCTCCCAATCTTGTAGCCTGCAAAGCAGTATCCAAGTTTATTCTCAGAGGATTCGGTTTTTGGGAAGTAAGTATTACTTTCTTCACCTTCTCTTAACTTTCATTCAACTAATGTTATGTATATAAATCATCATAATGCAGGTTTCCTTACTTCTTACCGTGCTTAGCAATATCTTGCTTCGCACTTCTGGTTACCATAATTTCATTAAGGATTCCGGTACGCTCTTTTACTTTCTCATGCTCCATTGAAACTCCTAGTTTTACTGTGTGTTAGCTTAACCTAGAAGTGGTTGTTTTTTCTTCTCCAGGAAACATTGCACAATCACAAGATTGATGATGATGCATCATCAACTGATGAGTCTTTTGATACTTCGAAAGTTTTGTCTCATGACCCTGAATCTCATACAGTGACAGAGAGAAATGAGAAAAGCTCTCTTCTGAAGAATTGGCCACTAATCTCATCTATTATAGTCTACTGCATCTTTTCACTTCATGATATGGCTTACACAGAGGTACCACTTCTCTTCCTCCAACATTCATCTCTGTTTATTTGTCTCAATAAGTTATAATCTTGAGATTTTCTTTCTCCATTAGATCTTTTCCTTGTGGGCAAACAGTCCTAGGAAATATGGAGGTTTGGGATACTCCTCAGCCGATGTTGGTTCTGTTCTTGCAATATCAGGTGTGTCCATGCTTCTCAACGCTTAACATTTTCAGTAGAAATGGACTTCTATGAGCTAAACAGTAACTACTTTTCTCTATAGGGTTTGGTCTCCTTGTCTTTCAGCTTTCGCTGTACTCTTATGCGGAGAGGCTCTTAGGACCAACCATGGTTACTCGTATATCTGGGGTAACCACTAAACTATGTTGCTCTCACTTCAAAAGTTATGTCACTGAACAAGAAAGTTCTAAATCTTGTGCTTGTTTTTTTTCTGGATACTCAACAGAGTTTGGCATTCATTCTTTTATCAACTTATCCTCTAATAGCAAAGCTATCTGGTTTAGCTCTCACTGTGGCACTAAATTGTGCTTCTGTAGCAAAGAATGTTTTAGGGGTAAGTCTCTGATAACATTAGCAGAATGTTTTAGTTTTGAGTTAAGTATACATATTCTCACCAGTTATGTGTGTTTGTGTGTGTGTTCAGACTTCAGCTATTACTGGTTTATTCATACTTCAAAACAGGGCTGTGGTAAGTATTTTTCAGATTCCATTTTATAAAAACTGAAAGTAAAATTAACATGTTTTTGTATTGACAAAACAGAGACAAGACCAAAGAGGAGCAGCTAATGGGATTGCCATGACAGCCATGTCTCTTTTTAAAGCAATAGGTCCAGCAGCAGCAGGCATCATGTATATACAATATTATGCTTTCAAAATGTCTATTCAACTCTTTATTACCTTACTTCCTCGCTTATATTCTCTCCTTTTGTTTTGGTTTGAATACAGATTTTCTTGGAGTGAGAAGCGTCAGGATGCTGCTTTTCTCCCTGGTAATGTGAACTCTTTCTTGTTCATATCTATGTTTTGCTCATTAGCTACATGAGTTTAAAAAAAACATGGTTCTTAATATATGTGCAGGCACACAAATGGTATTCTTTATCCTTAATGTGGTCTTGGCACTCGGAGTTGTTATGACGTTCAAACCATTTCTTGCTCAAACACAACACTAGAGATCGATCAGAGTTTGATGGTATCATCAAGTTAGACATACCATCTGCATTTTATTTTAGCTTGTATTAGTCTGATGCCAGCTTAGATCAGAGATTTGCTTAAATTGTTACAAGAAACAACTTGTTAGAATGTATTACCATATTATTATTTATACAACATTAAATCAAAAATCAACATTCATTGGCTCTAAATGATGACCAAAGAAATCATTGAGAATAGTACTCATTCTGTTTCATTTTAAGTGTTACTCTACATCTGTGCACACGGATTAAAAAATAATTAATTTTATATATTTTTTATATAAAAACACGGTTACCTATACATCTAACCATATTTTAACCAATAGAAAAACTAATTACATAATAAAATTAATAAATTATACATTGAAAATCGAAAACGACACTTATTTTGTAACGCAAAAAATTCTCTACAATGACAATTAATATAAAACGGAGAGAATAATTCTTTATCATTCCTTACAATTTACACTATTTACAAAATATTTTTATTACCTATAATTCCTTAACATTCCCTTACATTTAAAGAATAATTTCTTTAATGATCACCGGTTAAAACCATTATTAGCTTTGTGGTACGGTTCTTCGCCTTAAATGTTTTTCCTATATAATTGATACCTTCTGTATTTTTTTTTTTTCACATTATATGTGCGATGTCACGAGTTTTTTACGATGTTACAGAAATCTTGTAATGATACAAATGGGTACGAATACTTTCCCGTGATTTGCATTTTGTTGCCACTTACGTAATTAGAATCGAATCCTGGTGACGGTTTTAGAAAACGACTTAGATTTAATAATGATTACTAACATACAAAATATACAATATGAAGTTTCGAGAATAATACAAAAAGAAATAACAACAAACTTGTAATACGGAACTCAAATCTACATGAAACAACAAAATCGCAACCGTTAATCTCTTATCAAAACCGCAGACGTGTCGCTTCCTTCTCTTTGTTGAAGCTTACACGTCAAACACACAAGATAACGATCACCTTCTCCACCATTCTTCACGTGTTTTTTTTCTTAACAAAAAAAAAAAAACAAACGTAGACTTCTATGAAGATTGTGTTCTCACGCACATGGCATTAATAATCTCTGGTGGATTCTGCTTTCGTACCACATAGTTGTCATCATAATAAAAAATAATAATAAACGTTACTGATGATGATCTACGACCAAAAAGGAAAAAGTAAAAGAAACAGTAACTTCTTACACCAACCACACAAAATAACGTAATCCGATTGTAAAAAGAAGAAGACTTTTCTGCAAAAGAACATTCTTTCAGACCAGAGACGACTCGCCGGGAAGTGACGTCACCAATGGGTGCTACAGACCCCATAAAGGTTTCTCCTTTCATACCAATTTTTCCTCTTTTCGATGATTTATAATGTTGGTAACTAACAATCAGTTTATTTTTATTTAAAGGAGATTGAAGAGAGAGAAAACAGAGAAGAAAAAACAGAGAAGCATAAGAAGAAGAAGAAACAGAGAGGAGTAAAAGCAGAGGAGGTGGAGGAAGAAGCAGAGGAGTCAAAAGATAAAGATGAACTCAATCATCATAGATTCTTAGCGAGCTTGAACAGATTAAACCCAACAAACCCTCTTCGTATCATCGTTAACAATGGCGGCGGCGGTAGATTCACTACTCCGCCGCCTCAGCCACTCCGATCTTCCTCAAGAGTTCCTCCGCCGATTCAGACTCCTCCCGTTCGAACTCAACCGCCGGAAGAACCTCAACTTCCACCGTCTCCGTCACCACCGCCGCTTCAACATCAATCACGTTCCCTCTTCACACAAACCCCTCAAGTAAATCTCCTTTCTACTCTGCATTTCTGTCGGAAAGTTACCTTTTATAAATCTTCGGTGAGTTTAAAGTTTCCTAATTTATTTAATTTTCAGGAGACTTTGGCGTCACTGAACTCAACAAAGTACACAAACAAGTTCTTTCTCCTCCTCTTCATGCTTCACAAGATCGTCGCTATAGGTTTTGTATGCTTCCTTGTCTTCAGAGGCGTCCAAGGACTAATCGGCTCCAACGGCAGCGTCAAAAGGAAAGAGCAACGTATCCTCAGATTCCTACTTCCACAAGTGGAAGCTGCTTCTTTGCTAAGCATCATACTCGCATTCTCATGGCAAATGGCAATACGTCTCTGGCCTGAGTTCATGATCCACTTCATTCTCTGGAGTACATTCTTGATGTCTCTCTCCTCAGGGATACTATTACTCTGTTTCCAGATGCCAGCAACAGATGCTGTTGGTGTTGGTCTCATTGCTTTCTCTATAGGGAATGGTTTATATGCTTGCTGGGTCACTAGGAGAATCAAGTTCTGTACCAAGATATTGGTTAAGTCTTTAGAGCCAGTTTCAAAGTTCTCTGACTTGAACTTACCAACTTACTACATGCTAGCTGCTGGTTTCTTCTGGATGTCACTTTGGATATTCGGTGTCATTGGTGCTTTGAATTTTTATTTTCCTCCGCTTGTGATTATTGGTTTGGTGTTGAGTTTGGCTTGGACTACGGAAGTGATGAGGAATGTTGTTAATCTAACTGTAAGTAGAGTCATTGCTCTGTTTTATCTTAGAGGGATGCAGTCTAGTACAAGGTTTAGCTTCCAAAGAGCCTTGTCTCGTAACTTGGGGAGTGCGTGTTTGGGATCTTTGTTTGTTCCAACGATAGAAGCACTTAGGATCGTGGCGAGAGGGTTGAATTTGCTAAAAGGTGAAGATGAGTTCATGTTTTGCTGCGCTAATTGCTGTCTTAAACTCATGACATTCATATTTGAGCATGGGAATGGATGGGCCTTTGTGCAGGTATTATTAGTAAATGTTTTTCACAAGTTTTTTTGTTCCTGTTGTTGAGTAAATGTTTGTGAATATTTTGACAGATAGCAGCGTATGGGAAAGGGTTTGTGAGAGCTTCACAAGACACGTGGAAACTGTTTGAGGATGTAGATATGGTTGAGATAGTAGATGCAGACATAACAAGCTCTATATGTTTCCTCACAGGGATATGCAGTGGCTGCGTATGTGTAATTGTAGCGGCTGCTTGGACACACACAGTTTATAAGCCTTTTACAGCTACCATCTCCTTACTTGCCTTCTTCATTGGTTACCTCATGGTAAAATGACAGTTTTTAAATTCAGATTTTATGTTTTTATTTACTTAATATTCTTCTCATCATCGTTTTTTGGATGTGTTGATAACAGACGAGGATCTCAATGGCATTGCCTCACGCATGCGTGAGTTGCTACTACGCATGCTATGCTGAGAATCCAGAAAGCAGATTCTTTGACAAAACCATAAAAGAGAGACAGGCTTTGATCAAAAATGGTCGTGTTGTCGTCCACACACCTAGAGTCCGACGTGCTCTAGCCTAGCCTGGCCCTGGCTGCTTACTCTCTTCTTCTTTTTCCTTCCTGCCTAATTGAAATGGCTAGGTATTAAAAATGTATTTAAAATTTGATAATTAGTTTAGTAAGAGAATAGTGTCAATAACAGTGGGGGTGGGGAAGAAAGAATGTGGCTCATGACTTCATGTCATACACACAATCCAACTAAGCAAAGTTAGTTGAGCCTTTTTTTTTTTCCTTCTTTGTTGTTGTTGAAACCATTCAATGACCTTCTGTACATATATTTATTTCTTCATTATTTGTTGTTTCCTGTCTGTATGTTCCTTTCTCAATTCGGAAAGTAGTTAATTTATTTATAGATTAGGACATCATGCAACTGCGTGGTTAGTAGATCGTTGATGTAATAAACATATTGGTGAATATTGTTTTCCTATGAATTATTTCGATTATAGTATCTTTTGCCAGCAAAGCAGCAGCCTCAAGTTGTCTACGAAGGACCCTAGCAAAAAACCATCAATGCATACTGCCGGCTATAGAATAGCACGACAAGGATGAAATGTTTTGTTTGTAGAGCTGGTGCATACGTGATTTGACAAAATGCGTTGTCACATGGTGTATTAATGAGGCTGTTGCAGGACATGAAAGTGGAACGAACCAGGCTCCCATGTGAGTCTCTATTCCTCTGCTTTGAATGCTCTGCGTGATGCTGGTCTTGATTACCGATCAGATCATTGCAGGAAAGCTTTGACACAGCACAAACTAGTCCTTCAACATAATTGAATATGAACAACATAAGAACCTTCCAGGGTTCTTGAGTTGAAAAGGAAACCATAGAAGTTAAAGACTTTTTACTTTGTTATTTAAATGTATTGTAGTGATATAGAGATCTGCAAGTAGAAGATTTTAGAAACATTTGATACATAGAACAAAGATAGCCTAGATATCAAGTATAACCAAAGGAAGACAACAGAGAAAACACAAAAACTGGTTTACCAAATGTATTTTGACACTCAGCAAAATCATATGAATGGGAAAATAGTGAGCAGTATTAGAGATAACCAACGAACACACCCCAATAATCTCAGTCTCACTTAGACGTTGTTGCTTTAGCATCTTCACCCTGAGTAGTTTCTACTGCATCACCAGAACAACATCCACCTCCATGTTGATGATGATGATGACCATGACTCTGTTGATGGTTCTGCTTACTCTTAAAATACTTCCTCATGTCATACGCATCCTCTCCATCCGCGTAATACTTCGCTTCAACATCTTGAATCTTGTATCCTAACGTCTCCGTGTACAGATGAAATGCAGCTCGGTTACTTCTCCTCACGTGCAGTGAAACATACTCCGCCTCATATACCTGCCCACAAAACCCCTCATATTAATTTCAACACTCTAAGTTGTTTTTTTTTTGCTAAAAGATTTATATTAACACTTCTTTTTTGCTAAAAGATTAATTTTAACACTCTAAAACCATTATTAACCCCGGATAGGATGGGGTTCTTCGCAGAAATTAAGTTTCTTAACTTTTAAATAAAAAGGTTTAAATAAAAAGGCAGTTAATCTCGGGTTCTTAGGATGAAATTCTTAGCGGAAATTAAGTTTCTTAATTTTTAACTTTTAGCTAAAAAAGGCTTAAAAAAAAAAAGTTAACAAACAATTTTTTAACTTCGACTAAGAACCCCATCCCCATCCTCATTGTAAGAACCTCGGGTTAATCATGTTCTAAATTGTTAAGACAGAACAACTATTAAACCTCAGACACTACTTGTCTCCATCAATACAAAGCATAACACAACCCAAAACCTAATACAGTCTAAAGAACTCAAATTAAATTGTAAAGATTACTGAATTAACCTGTTCCATCGCAGCCTGAGCAGCGGTCATGAGCTTAGTAGCGAGACCAAGTTTCCGATGAGTACGAAGAACGGCAAGAGAAGTGATGTGTCCGTGGCACTCGTTACTCTCCTCATCCATCTTGGCGAGGACATAGCCAACGATGCGGCCGTTGTAGTCTTCGGCGACGTAGAGAAGCTGAGGCCAAGAGAGGATGTGGTAGAGGTAATACTTCATCTGGTAATTCTCGGGAAGACACATGAGGTTGCAGGCTTGCATCGATAGCAGATCGTCCACCGTTGCTCGCCTGATGCACACCATGGCTGCTGCTGCTGCTCTCGAGAAAGGGTGGGGTTAGGGTTTCGGTTTAATGGGGTTTGGGATTTTAATCTGGTGATGGATTTTAATAACGGAGGAATATGGGGTCCTTTATTGGAAGTTTAGATGATAGTTTTGGGGGATATTTAATAAGATAGTAAAACTTCTATTTTAGGACATGAGTCCAGTGGGCCGTGAGTTGATTGTGTAATGAAGTAGAAAGAAGATTACTACCACAATGCACAATGTGTAAAATTTAGGGGTGGGCGTTTACATACGCATTCGGATTCGGTTCGGATCTATTCGGACTGGTTCACAAATTTTAGCTCTATTCAAATATTTCTAAATTTCGGTTTAGATTCGGTTCGGATCTTTACATATTCGATTTAGGTTCGGATAACCCATTTAAATTATTTTAAAAAATTTAAAATTGATTATATACTTTAAATTTCTAAAAATATATATACAAAATAATATATTACAAATAATTTAATAATATAAGTCAAAATACCTAAACTTAATATATAAATATGTTTGATTTGAATACTTGGATTGTGAATCAATAATTTTAAAAAGTATTTTTGATGTTTTGAGTGTACTTTAGCAGTTTTAGACATGTATGTTTGACTATTTACATATATTTACAAGTATTTTGAAAAACTTCAAAGTATTTTAAATATATTGAATGTTTTTTATATACATTAAATCTAAAAATAATTAATATATATAGGTTTATAAATCTCTTTCGGATATATTCGGGTCGGGTTTGATTTCGGTTTTTTAAATACCAAAATTTTGAACCTATTACGATACTGAATCAATTTCGGTTCGGATTTGATACTACTCTTTCAGATCGAATTCGGTTCGATTCTTCGGATCTGAGTTTTTTGCCCAGCCGTAAATCTTTGTCATCCCAACTTTTAAGTGCTACAATGCTACATGTACATCCCAACTTTTAAGTGCTACAATGCTACATGTATTATATATTACTTATGAATTTAAATTGTAAATAGTATGAATTTAAATTGTAAATAGAATGGATTAGTGTTCTAAAAGTCGGTATAGACAGCGCCTAATCAGTGAGAAACTATTTTTTTTATTAGATTAAATGTATGGGGTCTCTCCTAATCAATAATCCTCTATAAAACATTTAAGTATCACCTATCAACTTTTAGAACATTTTGGAAGGGATACTAGTTATATCTTTGTGATTTGGAGAGACAAGACAGAAAGATAATCAGAAAGAAAAGGAGATAGAGATTAAAAAGTAAGGTTAGAGTTAGACGAGAGATGAGATACACCAGATTCTTCTCATGTAGCATTGGTTTTAACATAATCAGATACTTGCTACAGATAAAACATTATGTGCCTCACTCCCATATTTCTCTATTAGCTAGACAGAGAACATTTGGCTTTTTGTTTTCAGGTGCTACACTAGACTGATCCTTTGTGCAGCTGCTTTGGTCGTGCTCGTTGTCACTGAATCACTTGATGGGCTCTCTCTGTTTCCTTCACTCCTCCTTCTATCCTGTGCTTCTCCAGGCAACCTTGTTGAAACACACAAGTTAAGGAATTAGCAATTCTTATAGTGCTAAGAAAGGGACAAAGGGCTTTTATCAGCTAAAAGGGTTGGCTATCCTGCAACCAATGACAGTAAAAAGAATTTGACGAAGAAAAGTACCCTAACTGCAGAGTTGTGTCTGAATCGGTCTTCTGGAAGCTAACGTCGTCCAAGCAAGAGTTGTTTGCGGTTGAGTTCTTGGGATCTATAGCGAAGCATGTGATGTAAGATGGAACATAGTTTCGGTTGATGGACGGGAGAAAACTTCTGAGTTCTTGAACCTGTTTCAAGAGATGACGATTAGAAGTTGGACAAAGCAGACGGTCATGATATATAGGAGATTATTCAACAAAAAAACTATAAGAATATGGTTTCGTTCACCTGTCTTCGTAAGGTCTCATTTTCCAGCTCTGCTCGCTGTTCCTGCAGAGTAAAAATTATTCTGGATGATCAATATTTTCGCTATGTCTCAAAATAGACTACAAACTAGCTAGTTACAACATGATTTTCTCACAGTATATACTATATAGTAGGCACTAAGACCTAGTGGTGCACATGAGTTTAAACACGGTTCATCAAAATCATTAGTCTTACATGATCAGCTGGAAGCAAAACAGGAAAAGCAAGTGTTTCAGATGACTAAAGAATTACCTTGAGCCGTGATTCTTCAAGCTGTTTAGTCAACAATAGTTCCTGAAATCACACAACCTTTATACGTAAAAATGCAAATACATTTTGTGAAAAGAGGAATGGAGGAAGAGTGAAACTACAAGTTTTTTTTTTCACCTTTCGCTCTCTCACTGACATCAGTGAGACATTTAGTTGCTGTTCAAGTTGTTGAAGCTCTTTCAAGCTCAGAACATTCAAACCCTTACCTTGCAGTTGTCTGAAACACACACACAAAGATAATTAAACCATATAAACACACAAAAAGTGGTATGTGATTTTGTAAGAGTAAAGTAAACATGCAAGTGGGGTTTAATTAGGTTCCATACAAGTGTTTCTCTTGAAGCTTTGAAATCTCATCCTTTAAAAGTTCCACCTCTGCACAACCCTCCTCCTGGTTCTATAAAACATATCAAGTGTCAATGCATCAAGACAAAACACACATAAATCTAGACACAAAAAAAAACAACTTCAACATAATATGACACACAAGAATCTCTAACCTCTGTTTTATAATTAATCAGAGGAGCATCTGAAGAATGTTGGTAGTTTCCGTATCTCAAAAGCGTTTTCTTCATGCTGTAATCAAATGAGAACACTCTTAAAACTCAATCAAAAAGTTCTTGAAGTTAGAATGAATCGAAACAAAACATGCAAGAACCGATTTCACCACTAAGAAAAACACGTCTTGAACCATAGACATGCAAGTATGAAGAATGAAGAGATGATGATGATGATTAATTACCCAGTACTTGAGAACTCGAAGAGCTTGCCGGACTTGGAGAAAACGATGACGGCAACCTCAGAGTCGCAAAGAACAGAGAGCTCATGAGCCTTCTTGAGCAAACCAGCACGCCTCTTAGAGAAAGTAACTTGCCTGCTATTCGTGTTCTCGATCCTCTTGATCTCGATTTTTCCACGGCCCATCTTCTTCTTCTTGTATCTTTTCTCCCAAAATGTGAAAAATGAAGAGAGGAAAGGCAAGGTTTAATAAATCTCTCTCTCTCTTGTCTATCAACTCCTTTTTTGGGTTGTAGCTAGTCTATAAAGGGAAGACAAAGATTGCTAAATTTAGATGGAATATTTTCTGTTTCTAGTAAAGATAAAAAGAAAAAGAAACTAAAGTGTTTGGTGTGTTGCATGGGCACTGTTTTGCGTGCTCTCTTCTCTTTAATTTATTTAATTATACTGGGTATTTGCATGATACCTTTTTGCCACATTTGGAGTGTTTGCCAGTTTCCACTGGGACCCACATCTCCTTTTGTTGACTAAAGTTGTGTTTCTTCCTTTTTTTTTCTTCCATCTGTTTTTAAACATAGAGAAACGAAACTAGTAAACCAGATATATAATAAGTCACTTTACCTTTCATTTTGTCAGTGAAGTGTCTGTCTAGAAGCAATTCAACAGTCTTCCACTATGATCGATGAAATCACCAAAGAAGAATAAGAAGAACTGAAGAAGATAGAAAGACAAAGTCTCTGTCTTCTGTGTTTCTTCCTAACCTTTCTTCTTGCATGTTAACAGTAACCCGAACAGTAAAGGCCATATTGTAGGCCCAACTAAAGCCCATTTAAAATTGAAAAATTAGCTTCTCTAAATAAGCTTTCTCCCACAATTGTAACCATGTGAAGAAAAACATATACGCCAACCGCGTTTTACGAATAAACGACATTTTCCTCGCATATTCATTTTATTCTATTTTATTTCACTTCTTCTTTTTCTTTTATCTGAGCCTTTAAAAGAGACCCGGATAACGATAATTATGAAACAGCATTTATAAATTTGACAGGAGAAAAAAGAAAAACAGAATTATTATTTGCTTTACAACAAAGCCAAACAAACAAAAAAAAGCTAATTGGGAAGCTCTCCTCATCCACATTTTCTTCTCCGCAAGAAATCAACACCAAGGGAAACCCCAGAATCATCATCTTCTTTTGATCATAGGTGAGATCTTCATAGCTTCAAAACGGTGTCCCGATTGTCAATTGCCATATCAAAGAAGCTGATTCCTCCTCGTGTGGTTGATTAATCGGTGAGGCGATCCTTCTTTTTATTCCCTTTCTCAATTTTCTCTTTTAGAGATCCATTTGAATAATTATTGATCCTAGGGTTTTTGAATTTCCGTTGACTTAGTCCTAGGTCTCCCAACAACAACAACATCCGCCGCCGTTTCGTGATTGATTCTGTTATAGCTTCAATGGCAGATTTAAATAAACACGCAGAAAAGACGAAATCACCCTCCTCCTCGTCCTTCTTCAACAGATCGCTCACAATCCACCATGGACACAGACCAACGGATTCAACCCCCAAATCACACACCCTAAACCCTTCCCTAAACCGAACCACCTCCATAACCAAATTCTACAACCCCGTCGAAACAGTAGTCGAATCCTCCCTCAAAGGAAAAGTCAAAAACCTCTGCAGATTATTCGAAGTCTCCAAATCCTCCCTCAGCAAATCAACAACAACACCCGATCATCCTCCACAGAAGCTGAAATCGAACAAATCGGTTTTATCCGAATCGCGGTTATCCCCGTTTTTAAGCCTAAACAACTCCGTGATCCGTCTCCCGGGGACGGAGGACAGGATCGTGGTCTTCTTCACCAGCTTGAGAGGGATAAGACGGACCTACGAGGATTGCTACTCCGTGAGGATGATTTTCAGAGGGTTCAGGGTTTGGATCGACGAGCGGGACGTCTCGATGGACTCTGCGTACAAGAAGGAGCTTCAGATCGCGATGGGGGAGAAGAGGAGTGTGTCTTTGCCTCAGGTTTTTATCATGGGGAAGCATGTTGGTGGTGCTGACGTGGTCAAGAGTTTGTTTGAGATTGGTGAGCTGGCGAAGATACTTAAACTGTTTCCCGTGAGGGAGCCGGGGTTTGTGTGTCGTTGTTGTGGGGATGCGAGGTTTATTCCGTGTTCGAATTGTAGTGGGAGTAAGAAGTTGTATGATGAGGATGAGGATAGGCATAAGAGGTGTCCGGAGTGTAATGAGAATGGGTTGATTCGGTGTCCTGATTGCTCTTCTTGAGGAGGTTATTAAATCAAGAAAATCAAGAAGAGAGAGATGTAGGTGTTTGGTTTTATCTATTGTGTAGAACAAAGTGAATGATGATGATGATGATGCTACGAGTATCTGAAAAGCTCTTTTGGATCAGTAGCTGTATCTCACTTTCCGGCTTTTTTTTAAAGGTTTGTTGTGATCATTCATCATTGGTATCATTGGGTATGCTGATGATCGTTGATTTAGATGTGTATGTATGTTTGTTACTAAGGCTAATGTTGTTTTATTTAGTCGAAATGTCTGAAATGGGTAGTAAGCATTTTGGCTCTTGTGTGTGTCAATGTTGTGAAAGACAACACGACTCTGTTGTTTATTCTATGTATTTGATTGTAAATACACTCTCAGTGTGGTTATTGGGGGTTTGTGTTTCATTAAGACCGTGACTGTCTTCTACATATGATATTGTTCTCGTTCACTTGATCGTCTTTGTATGGCGACTTGGTACTAAATCACGTATTAATAATTATCACTCGTCCTCGATCAACGCCACTAAATCGTGGTGGTTGAAACGTAACATATCATAAGACAATTGTGTGTCATTGTCAATATTCAAAACTTGTTACCGCACACAACTTTAGAAAACGGTCATCACTTATTAAGATGGTCCATTGGTGTATTACAATGGGGGTAGTTGGAGCCAATCCGGTAAATTTGAACATACATTTTGAAGAACGCCGAACTATTCTCCCATGCTAAGCCCAAAGTAGGATCCTTACAACGTTAAATATATCTATCTATACTATTATTTGCGAAGTGATTTTTCGCAACGGAGCTCTCACGTTGAAAGTTAGAGTGGTTAATATCGTTTATACCCTTAATGAAAAAATATAAATTATACACAAAATAAAAAAACGAATTTTAGTTCTATTAATTAGATAAGTGTTTAAAATTAGTAATGATAATAAGAATTATCCAAAATCAAAAAAAAATATTTTAAAATAAAAAGATAATTCATCTATATGTTGTGTTGTTATCTTAAACAGTCTTTAATATAAAAATTAAAAATATAAAATAATTAAAAATTATTTGATTAGATGAGTTATTAAAATTATTAATAATAAATATAATAACATAAAATATAAATTATACACAAAATAAAAAACGAAGTTAATTCTATTAGTTAGATAAGTGATTAAAATTAGTAATGATAATAAGAATTATCCAAAATCAAAAAAATATATTTTAAAATAAAAAGATAATTCATCTATATGTTGTGTTGTTATCTTAAACAGTCTTTTAATATAAAAATTAAAAATAAAAAAGAATTAAAAATTATTTGATTAAATGAGTTATTAAAATTATTAAAAATAAATATAACCCAATTTATAAAAAAATTTAAATAATAAACATAATTAATATATACATTGTGTTGTTATCTAAATAATATCTTTTAAATTAAATTTAAATAATCAAAACAATAAAAACATAAAAATAATTAATCAAGTAAAATTCTTAATTTTATATAATTATAATTTTTAAAAATAATGAGTGATTTCTAATATTTATTTATTTATTAATAACAAATATAATATACCAAACAAATTTCAAAATATTTATAATACGTAATAATTACACAACATAAACATAAACATAAATGATATATATCAACATCTTTAATAATAGTATAGATTAGTAATATATGTATTAATAAATAGTTATAAAATATTTACGCCCGCATGAGCGGGCAAAACACCTAGTTGCACTCTTAAAAAAGCTTAATTGTCATGGTGCGATTCGGCAAGCCCATGTAGAAATATATGAGTTTGTAACATCAGATTCTTTGCCTTTTTTTCTCTTTTGGCACCAGGAAACCTTTTTTTTTGTGCAACCCACGAGGAAACCCTTTTTACGTTTCAATTCCTCTTTTTAATTTTATCGTTAAGTCACAGTTGACGGTTACAGATTGTTTTTCACGCAATGCTTTCCACTTTAGTCAAAAGGTTACTTGTAACAGTTGAACTACTAGGGGTATCTTCATTACTCACGCATCCTCTTCCCGTTTTATGCGCATATTATTTTATACTTACTAGACAATATTACTAACCTAACAAGATTTTAAACAAATGTATAAATGGAGTTGAATAAACTCATTTAAATGAAATTAAAAGTGTACTGACTAAACGAATGACTTTATTTTAATAACTTAAAATTAAAGATTAGTATGGTGAAAGAGATTTTTTTTAAGAAAAAAAAAGTTTTTTTAAACTCAACATCAACCAAAGAATGAGAACATGATTTTACACACCACAGTGACCACACAAGTGTTTTAACCTCACTTAAAAACAAAGAGATTTAGTAAGAGCATCTCCAATGTAAAATTTAATTTTTTCCGTCAAAATAGAGTTAAAATAATTATGGAATAAAAATGTTCAACTCCACTCTATTTCTAACTTCATAATAGAATAGTGGAGAAAAACAATAGATTATTTCATTTATGGAGTAATTCTCATTATAGAATAAGAAATGAAGTAGGGTTAGAACATTTTTTACTCCATAATTATTTTTTTATTCAATTTTAAAATAAAAATTCAGTTGGGTTGGAAATGCCTTAACATCTAAGATCACTACTTGGATCCTACATTACCTAATCCAGATATTTGAAATAAATTCAACTCAATGAACACAAACTATCAGAAAGGAATCGGTGATTGAACCTACTAACTGAACCACATGAGACGAAAATATTATACACCCAGGGCCGGCCTTAAGATTCTAAGGGTCTGTGGCCATTTTTATGTAAAAAAAATTTAGGGATCTAAAAATTTTTTTTTAGAGATCCATACTCATTTACCGAATATTTTACTAGGCATGCCCCAAGGCCAACCCTATATACACCATCCTTTTTTTTGGTAATACAGACACCACCATCCAAGATACCTATTTGATCTTTTTTTTGTTCAAAGCATATTTGATCTTAACCTTGGTCTGTAGGTTAAAAAAATCACAAGCATTATTTAATATTTCTCTCTCTTGACTTCTCTTTTACTGTAAAGGAAGATAAATGAATCGGATCACATCTCTAAATTTGCTGTTTTTTCTTTTTAAGAAAAATAAAATAAAATCTCTAAATCTGCTGTTCATAACAATAACATACAAGATCAAAATCTGGCCGAACAAAATACTTGTGATTTTGGATATTTCTATACTCATCGATTATATATAAGTTGAAAATGTGTTTTAAAAAAGTTTGGGATATGATTTTACACTAAAGAGGAATTAATTTGATTGGATACTCATTCCAAGTTGACATATCGAGTAAAATTTTCTCTCTGTGTCAAAACATCAGCGAATACATATACAGCCTTGAAGGAAATATGATATATAGATATAGAAGTTAGGGTAACATTTAAGATATTGAGATTCTTTTATCAATTTCGAAATGTTGCCAGAATATGAGAACCATGTGATGACTCGTGATGATTGCTTTACTTCAACTTGGTGACAGAGAGAGAAATAAAAAGAAACAAAAGATGAAAGCTGCTCCAGCAAACGAACTCGCAACTGAGTAAAGACCAGATCTATTCTTCTTCGATTCCGTTTTCTTTTCATATATATTACTAGATATTGTTCCATGCGACCTGCTGAATATAATAACCTACGAAAATGTCAAAGATTTGGTATTGTAGCCAACTCATGGTGATCAATCGTTGAGAGAACTTAAAAAAATATGCCAACTTTGACAATTTTTTTTTTGACAAGATGTCCACTCGCTAGTTTATCCACCTCTTGAATACTACAATTAGATAGTTTAGAATAATAATATACATGCATTTTTACACCAAAATTGATCAAACATAATTGGACGCTTATTTATTTACAATGAATGTTTTCACATTCTTAATATAAATATTTATTTGTACAGAGAGAAAAAAAAAACTTGCGCTGTCAGCGCACAATGGTTTAGAGTCCAACCGTATTCTTTTTGTGAATGATCTTTTTGGATATTTCGCCGTATATACATGTGTTGCCGATATTCCCTTGGGATCGAAATATATTTTAACTATCTATATTTGTGTTTGAATTGTTTTTAAGATTCCTTATTAAGATGAATTTTCTATTGATATTTTAGGCATCCCAAAATTGTACCAACGATATTTTAGCTACGAAGATTACAACGTACCTTACTCTCTTTTTTAACACATCTCCGTCATCGTGTATTTAAACATATTAGATACTGCATGCATCCACATACGTAGATTATATATACATTTTTTTTTTTAGATTATACTAATATGTTTGCTGCTGACGTAAAAAGATAACTAGATTTTGAACCCGCACATCCGTGCGGGTATTTTTTCATTTTATAAAAATATAACAAAACATTTCAAATATATATAATTTATATTTTATTGTTATATATTGTATAATCTTATAATTTTTAATTATTTTTATATAATATATTGTTGTAAGTTTTAAAATAAAAAATATTCATAAATAATTTTTATATAATGTATTTGTTGTGAGTTACAAAAATATATGTTAACATTTTTGTATAAAATATATATAATTTAAAAACTTTAATATGTTTTAAAAGGGAGTGATATTTATTTATTTGAATAAAATAATTTTTTTAAAAATAAAATATTTTTATTTACCAATTTAATATATTTTATATTCATTTCAAATAGAATTTTATTTTAATATAATGCAGAATATAACTAAATTATAAAATATAACAATTTTTATTTTTAATTAACATTAATATAAATATTTATATATATTAATCACGAAATTAAATAATGCATATATTATAAAAATATTTAAACTTCTTAGTAAGATCTTGTTAGATATTTTCTCAACAAATTTATTACTAATATCCTATTATTATTAAAATATTCATCTAATTATATATATTTGATTGATTAACATAAATATGTCATATTAATGAGATAGTCCAACATGACTTTTTGTAGTAGATATAAATGGTACTTCTCTTTTAATAGAGAAGATATAAGATATTTTCTTAGTTAGTTTCAAAAAAAGATATTTTCTTTGTTATACATTCACATACCCTGATGTTTTCTTTGACATATGTGACAATATTTATGTCATCAATGCAACAAATAACAGTATTGTAATATAATACCATTATTAAACTTTGAAGTTTGAAGCGCCACTAGTGGTATGAATGTATGATGATATGATGTATCGCCGACGTAAATAAAATTATAAGAATCTGAAATGGTACGTTGGCAAATTATACATGTGCATATAATTTATAGTACATTTAAAAAAAAAAAGATATAATATATAGTACACGAAACACATGGATTTCTTATATACACAACGACATGGATACAAATCCAACATTATCGGGTATTAAAAAAACTAAGACAAATGCAATGAGTGTGACGATTAACCATGTGAAGTCTTGTTTTTCTATATATATTTTAGTCTTTTTGCTTTATCTATTAATTTACTACTAGATCTTGACCCGCGCACCGGCGCGAGTTTAACTTAATTTGGAAAAGTATAATATATTCATAAGTCATCGGTTATTACCGTATTTCAAAAACTATGATCGTACTGAATGTAATAGGACTGGGGTTTGATTTTGGGTTAAACTTTTGTTGGATTCTTTATGTTCGTAGTTTTTTTAATTCTACAGATATAAGATCTGTTCTGTTATCTATATAAATTGATTTGCGTCCGGTTCGATTCTTTTGGTTTGAGCTGAGTTTGGTAATAATTATAATAACCGACTAATATCAGATAAATTTTTGGTTCCAATATGATAACGGTTTGGTTACGATTTATAGGATTAATTTTAGATTAATCGGGGTAAAACTGATTTTTTGGGGGGGGATAGGTGTTTCGGATAAATATCCAGTTACGAAAACAAAATTTTAATATTTTAGTTAAAACTATTCAAATATTTTGTGTCTTTATGATAATTTGAATAATGTAAAATACTTTAGATAAAATATATTTGAGTATTAAATTATTTGAAATGTAAATTGTTATTATCTTAAAAACTGATGTTATTTTTAAT